GAGAGATTTGACTGAGAAGCGTCGTCGAGGAGAAGAGGCCTCCCTTCGTTTTGTAAACTGCTCAGATGTGCCCGTGGCCCCTGCCCGGCCTGCGAGTCAGCACTAGGTTTGGCATATGTCTTGTGGGGCTGCCCAGCTGGGGAGCTAGTGTTCCCCCCTCTGCTTTGGGCCTGGGGAGGTCGCCTGCCCCGTCAGCAGACGGAACCGGGCCTCCCCTGGATGGGCCACCTGTGCTTAGTGGTTGAGCTGAAACTTACAGCCCGGTCCTCCCACTGCCGTCTTGCGATCCCAGCCATGGCCAGGGGACAGTGGACAGGGGCTGGAGATGGGAGGCAGGGCTGTCTGTGAGACAAGGTAAGAGAAGTAGAGGAGAGAGAAGGGGATGTAGATGGAAGAGAGGGAAGGGGCTGGCTAGCCAATTAGCAAGGGGACGGAGGAGGCAGGTGGGGAGATGAGATGACAGATGCGCCGTCTTGCAGCCTGGGGTGGGGGTCCTCAAAAGGGACGTCCCCCCTCTTCCCCTGTGACTGTCCCCCCTGGGGTGGCGGCTGGTCACGGCCATTGATTGTTCTGGGAAGCCCAGCCCCCCTCCCCCACACACTGTACACAGCTGCCTTCCCGCTCTTATTTATTGCACGAATCTAAGTTATTCTCTCCAGCCAGAGCCCTAGCGCCCACTCCCTGGAAAAAGTGGCATGCGGCCCTGAGCTGGACTTTATATTTTATATCTGCAAATAAATCACATTTTATCTTATATTTAGGGAAAGCCGGGTGGCAACACCACCAAAAAATGTTTTTAAAAAAATTGCCCCGGCCTCCAGATTTTATTTATTTTCTGACTTACAGTAAGCGAGTTATCCGCCTTCTGTATTTTGTAGACTTTCTGAATAAAGTCAAGTTCTCTTTTTCCACAGTGAAGAAGTGCATGTCCTGAGCTATGGTTTGTTGTTGTTTTTTTTTTGGGGGGGGGCGTTCCGAGTGAGGGGCCCAAAATGGAGTTCTGCTTTCCCAGCCCAAGCCGAACCCTCTGCTGGGCGGGAGGGCTAACTCCAGTTTGCAAATAAAAGCCAAGCACCATCGCTGCTCTTGCCTTGTGCCTACGCTGGTGGGGGGAGGGGGGGGCGCTGGAAGTGGAAACCCAGATGGGTGGTGCCCAAACATGTCCTTCCTTCTGGGTGCCTGAGCCAGGGATCCTCCGTGGGGAAGGCAAAGCCGGAGCACAATGAAATGTAGGGTTAAGTTTCTTTCCTGGGCATCCCTTCAGCGAAAAAACAGTCCCGCTCAGAGAGGAAAATTCCCAGCTTGAAGAGTCACCTCCCAGCACTTTCACGTGGAGGGCTGATCTTCTACAGCCAAGTAGAAAACACTTTCCTGGTGTTCTGGAAGGCATGGGGAGGCGGGGGGGGGGGGGGGGGGCAGTCCCAGCCTGCAGGCCTAAAAGCAGCCGCATCTCATCCTAGGCCCAGGCGGCAGAGTGCACTGTGCCGGGCAGGGAAAGCGGGGTTTGAATCCAGATGTGAGCTTTCCTAGCTGTGTGACCTTTAGTGGCTTATGTAGCTGCTTGCAGCCTCGGCTTATCCATCTGTGCCAGGAGGGTACTCCGAGGGCACAGGTGACCAGCACTGGGAGCCGGAGGGGCTCAAGCTTGAACACAGAAATGTTTACAGGAGGCGCACCGCTGCAGTGAGGATTTCTGAGAGGCCGGCTGTGGGTGTGAAGATGGCGGGGCCGGGAGAAGGCACGGGATAGGAAAGTTGGGGAAAGGCCAAACCACATAGGTTGGCCTGATCCACAGGCCTTCCTCCTCCCCCTCAGGTGGGGGCCCTTGATCCTCACCCGATGCTGAGATGCTGAGTTCAGGCCTAAGGAAAAGGCAGCCGGAAGCTGCAGGAGAGCCAAGCTGAGGCTGGGAATTTCCCCACCCCCACCGCATTCCTGAGGGCCCAAGTCAGCAGCCCCCCCTCCCCCAGCCCCCGCGAAGGCATGCGGGGGTGGCTGCAGGAAGGTGCCTTGCCTGGCCAGACACCTGGCCTGGTGGGTAGAGGCAGTGCCCCCTGCCCAGCAGGCCCTGCTCCAGGCCTGGCCCTAGGGGGCGGCACCAAGGGTCCCTCAGTGGAGGCTGGGTTCAGGGAGGCAATGTTAGCCTCTGACAATGTGAATTCCCCCCATGTTCGCACCGGAAGGACAAGGGTTTCCTAAGACACCCCTGCTCACAACCACGAAACCCACCCCAACACGGGGGTGGGGAGAGGAAGGAAAAAACCTCACGCACAGGCAGAGGAGATTTCAGTACAATCTATATTATCTCATATATATATATTTCTTCCTCACTTTATTTGCTCACTTCTGTCACGCATTTAAAATGTCACAGAGACCAAAATAGAGCGACTTTCTGGTGGAACTCACGGCAGTCATACACGAGATATAAAACTAAGGGACTCTGTCTTCTCATACATCATACAATTAATTTTTCAAGTATTTTTTATATACAAAGAGCTACTCTATTGGGAAAAAAATTTAAAAAAGACAAGGTTGGTTACGAATCCTAGGAAGTAGGTGGCGTGGTCAGGCCGCTCCCAGCCCGCAGCTCTGGGCCTGGCTCCCCGCCGGGAGCTGCAGGGCAGAGACGGGCAGGGAGCAGCCCCACACTTTGGCCTGGAAGGAGGGCCAGAGAAACAGAAGGGAAGGGAAATAGTGGGAGCGGGGCCGAGGGCGTTCTCAGGCAGCCTGCACGCCTGCTGCCTTCCCAGGCAGCTTGGGGCTGGCTGGCCAAGCCCCCCAGACAGGGACCCGAAAGCTGGCCCCTAGTACCCCTCAGGCAGGCCTGGCCCCCCCGCTCCCACCGGGAGGGCTGGCTTGGTCACAGCGCCAAGTGCCCAGAAAGACGCCTGGGATGAAACCCCCACCCGACCCTGGGCACTGTTCACCCAGGAGTGGCCAAGAGGGAAGATTCCGTAGTGAAGTCTGAAGCCACGGGCGGGCCCTTCTCCCTGCCCTTCCGCGGCTGCTGCAGCCCAAACGCGCTATCTCGGGACGGACGCTCTGCCTGTCCAAACAGTGTCCATCACGTCTCCTCCTGACGGTGGCCGATGTGAGCCCAGGCTGCACAGGGGCTCTGGCCCCAGGTGTGGGTGTGGGGTGGGCAAGGGGAGGGCCTGGTGGTCCTGGCCACCGAGGCCTGTCCAAGGGCGCCTGGCCCAGCACTGCAGGAGCCTGAGTGCCAGCAGCTTAGCAGGGAGCCCCCAGGGAGTGTCTGGGACAGACTGAGGCCTGGGGAGGGGAGCGTTCATGTGTGACTAAGGCACAGAAGAGATGGGCTGGGGCCAGATGAGCAGGACACCAGGCCGTGTGGGCATGGGGCCGGGGCCCTCCTGCAGGCCCAGCCTTTGTCCGCCCTCCCACAGAACCGTGTCCTCCGGAAGCTGGTCTGAAATGTGGACTCAGACTCTTTCCCTGAAATGGGAGGGAGAAGCCCCAGCAATGATCGGGGCCAGCAAAGGTCTGACCGCTCAGCCAGGAAGGAAGGTGGGAGCCCCTGACCCTCTGAGCAGCCAGGCAGTAAGGGCTCTGCCCCCAAAGCTCTCAAGACAGACCCAGGAGAGGGGCAGTGGGGGCTGCCGCTGTCCTCCGCAGGCCAGGGGGGAGGGGCATGCGACAGAGGTGCAGCCACAGCAAGGACAGCCAGGGGACGCAGGGACCTCACGTGGAGAGGCCACATCCGCAGAAGAGGGGCCCAGAGGCACCTGAGCACCTTCCTGGCGGGACCTGTGGCTCCTGGCGTCTGGCTGAGCCTTGCAGCGGGCCAGGCAGGCCGGGTCAGGAGGGACTCCACAGATAGCTTCCTCCCTCCTCCCTCCTCCTCCTCCTGCCCAGAGGAGCTAATATAGCAGAAGGGGGAGGAGGAAGAGGGGGCAGAGCTGCAGTGCAGTGTTGGGGAGGGGCTGTGAGTCTCAGGGGGAGGGCAATGAGCTGGGGACAGAGCTGAGAGGCTGCGGCCACTGGTCAGCAACACAAGCGTCAGGGCCTGGGGCACGGCTGGTCCCAACACGCCGCCACCAGGACGAGCCGAGCCGCACAGGCATGGGAGTGGCTCCCAGTGACCCCTGCTCCTCGCCGGGCGTGCAGCGTGGCCGTGTAGAAATGTTCCTGAAGGCTCGGGGTGAGCCTGGCCTGTCCTCTGGGCAGACAACGACTGGCGGTCCCTCTGGAAGCGATATGTGAGTGCTCTGGTCCAATAAATTAAAGGCAATGCCAAAGCCCTGGCAGCCCGCCTCCGGGCCTGGGCCTGAGGCCGGAGGGGCGCACCTGCCCTGGGCCAACGTGCCAATCCTTCCCAGCAGCAGCCACGCTTAGAACTCGTCATCAGAGCTGAGCAGGAGCGTCTTCTCGGTGTCGCGGGCGCCACTGAGGCTGTGGGAGCGTGAGAGGCCGTGGGCGCCGCCGTGCCAGGGGGGCCCGGGCTCCAGGGTGGACTGCTGCGTATACTGCTGGTAGGCGGGCGAGAAGTTGTGGATGGCGTCCTGCACAATGTCGTGCGGGTTCATGGTCTCCTTGAGGCTGCTGGAGATGCTCTTCATGGGGGCGCAGCGGCCTGCGGGCGGGAGGCAGGGGGGTGAGGGGCTGGCGCAGCAGGAGGCAAGGGGCTTGGCCCCCAGGTTGTCATCCAACCACCCCTAGTCCTGGGACCCACCCCCAAGGCTATGCCATCCAACCACCCCTCCTGGGACAGAGGATGGGGTTCTGCACGTGAGAAGGTGCAGGCAAAGAAACGGCCCTCTGGCTGGGGCGCAGGGCAGAGAGCACCCCTGAAGGGGTGGAGGTAAGCAGCCATGGGGGCGAGTCCGGCAGGTGGATGGGCCAGGGGTGGAGACTGGCACGATGCAGGCAATGAGCCCAGAATGCTCCAGGGAGGCAGGCCAACCCGGCACGAGTGGAGGTGGAAGTGCTGGGGACGGGCTCCCGGTGCTGGCCCTGCCCCCTCTCCTGAGGGAGTGGACCAGGGACCCGTTCCATCGGGGCAGCTGCAGAGGCTGGACCCCGGCGGAGCAGACATCTTCACCAGCTCCCCCGAGAGCGCGGGAGCCACCGGCTGGATAAGCTTCTCTGATTCCCTCCCCCATGAATGGGCCCCACAGGCCCAGGCCACACTGAGAGGTAAGGGAAGAGCTCCCTCGCAGCCAGGCCTTCGGACTCAAACACGTCTGCCCTTTCTGCCTCCACAGCCTCTGCCATGGACACACGAATGGCCCCTGGTTTCCCAGTAATGGGTGCTGTGCCCCAGGACCAACAGGGCATATGCCAGACGACAGGCCGGACAGAGCAGGTCTACAGAGGTGCCCGTGGTGAGGAGACTGGGCACAGAAGAACCAGGCAGAGAGGTGTGCCGGTGACAGGGACCAGGACTGACATGCAGGACAGACATGCAGACAGAGAGCAGAACCTACCGTAAGGACCATACGTTGGCACTGCCCACGGCCAAACCCGGGGCAAAAGCAGGGCGGGCAGGGGAGGGGGGAGAAGCAGGAGAAATAGAGAAGACAAGAGACAGCTGAGTGAACACCATGGCCCACCACCGAGGCCAGTGCACGCCACGCCCCCTGCCGCCCCCACCCCTGTCCCACCGGCACCCCAGCAGCCCCAGCTTCCCCTCGGGCCTTGGCGCACTATCCACCTACAGAGGACCCCCCTGTGGCACTCCCACTCTCTATGGGGGGACAAAGAGTGGACACCAGAATGGGGGCCGAGTTCGCCTCCGCCCCTAAGTCAGGGCCCCCACACCCCACTTCTCCAGCCTTGCCTGGAACTGCTAAGCCTATGCCTCGTGCTCCACAAACCTCTCCCCACTTCACAGACAGGAAATCGAGGCTGGGGCGGGGTTTCTTGTGCAGCCCCCATGACAGAGCCAGCTCTGCACCCATGCCAGACGGGAGGGCTGAGGGGCCGGGCCCTGTGGTTGGCGGGCCTGTGGCCAGCAGGACCGCGCGGAGGGGCAAGAGCGAGCAGCAGCTTCCCCTGGCGGGCAGGGTCCATGCACAGCTGCATGGCTGCGGGTGGATGTGTAGGGGAAGACGGCCCAGGCGTCCATTACAGCGTCTGCTGGGCCACCACGTGCAGAAATGGTCCTTAAACACTGAGACCTTCCCAGACTCTGGGCACAAAGGGACTTTCCCAAGGGACAGGGTCTGTCAGGACCAGGTCGAGGGACATCGCCCTCAATCCTGGGAAGCTGACCCTTCCAACTGGGGCCTTGGTGGGAAGCCAGTGGGCCACCAGCCGGCAGTGCTGAGCCGGGCAGCACAGTGCCTGCACTGACAGTGTGCGGTCAAATATGGAGAAAGCGCCCCCAGCCAGCGTGTTGGGGAAACGCGGTCGGGCCCACCAGAGTCACGAGGCCTGGAGTACAGGTCAGGCCCCGCATCAGCAGCTGCGCAGGCATCCTGAGGCCGCCCACCAGGGAGAGAACATGGCAGGAAGGGGTGGGAGGCGAGGAGCCCGGCCGCGGGCCAGGCGGTCCTCTATACTCTTCCCAGGACACGGCTGCCCGGGCCCGGGGTGGGCATCGGTGCTGCGCTTGGCGAAGTGGGTTTCCCCCTCCAGCCCCGTGGGAAGGGAGCTGGCAGCAGCCGAGCTCCAGGGTAGATGTGTTAGACCAGGAGGCCTCCCTTCCAGGCCCTCCCACCTCCTCCCATCATCCAAGCATCCCCAGACTCCTCTTCCTCTTCCCCTTGGGCATCCCTCCAGGCCCAGTGGCAGCAGAGGCACCCGGCCCGAGAGCTGAAATCCCACCCTGCCAGGCCCGAGCCCAGATCAATGACTGCGGAACCTCTGAGGTGGGGCCAGCACGGACTTTAAGACTCCCCAGGGGGCTCTGCTCTCACCCAGGGAGGTCAGCAAGTGTAAAAGAAAGCTGTTCAGAGCTACTGCCACCCAAGCCTGCTTCTGAGAGGTAATCAGGTTAAGAAAACAACAAAACCCTTGAGAGACAGAGGATTCTGGGATAAACGAAGAACCGGCTCAGTCAGAAACCCTGAGGGACTTCTATCCTAGAATCTCTGTCCTGACCGTCCCACAGGGCACTGCGCCTGTCAACTTCGGGTACTCGAGACCGGCTGCCCAAGACAGGAGGGCCTCGCTCCCAGGACCTCCCTCACGGGACCAGGACTCCTGGCCCTTCCACCCTGCAGGACGCCGCGGGCAGGAGGGCCTGGCTCTCACCTTGCGCGTCCAGCCTCTTGTCGGCGTAGACCTTGTAGGTGAAGGCGTGCCGCAGGGCCAGCGCCGCGAAGAACATCTCCACGCAGATGATGAAGTCCTGGTAGCCGGCAGCCACGGTGCCCTCGCCCACCGACACGCGGGCTGAGTGGATCTTGGGGATGGCCCCGCACTTCTCCAGGATGGCCAGGAGCAGGCCTGGGAGCAACGTGTGGGTGTCTGGCCCCGGCTGGACCGCCTTCCCACCCCCTCCTCCTCCATGCAGCCCCCCCAATGCCCGGGGTGGTGGAAGTAGGGGCCCTGGTTGCTCCTGTGGGCAGCGTTGTCGACACAAGCCGAGGCCACTTGGAAACCCCACTGAGACTTCACAGATATGCGGGGCCCCCCATGTCCCCCCACCCATGAATCAGCCTCACTGAAGCTCTGCCCTGGCTCCTAAGGCCCCTAAGGGCCCAGACTTCGGCCCGAGGGGGCACCCAGTGGATGGAGGCCCCTTTGAGCTCCAGGCTGGGATCCCTAAGGACAACCCCACGGCCTGGGCCCCAGGGGCACTGGGGATGGCAGGCAGGAGGAAGGGGACGAGGTTTAGGGGACAGGGCCGCCACACGGGGCAGGGCGGAGGCTCACCTTGCCAGAAGGAGAGGAAGATAACAGACTTGACCATGAAGAACTTGAGGACGGGGCTGTAGGGGCTGAGCAGCTCCCTGGTGGCGAAGTAGAAGAGGAAGAGGGCGTAGAGGGCCAGGCTGACGGAGACGTTGTAGATGATGGTCACGTACAGGTAGCCGCTGGCGACGCTGCAGAAAAGGGGAGCATCCTGGCTTGGACAGACCCCTCCGAGGGACGAGGAGCCCCCCCTCCTCTGTCCCGCCCCTACGCCAATCCCCATGGCTCTAGCCGTGCTCCCAAGCAGTGCTCCACGAGCCACGTGGTGATCAAAGGGGCCAAACATGAGGCGGGTGCCGGGGTGCCTGCAGCACGGGCCGAGCCAGGGCCCTGCCTCACGCAGGGGTGTCTAGCCACCTGCCCGCAGCTCTGGTGCCCACGCTCCTCGTGGAGGACCTGACACAGGCATGGAAGCCAGTCTGGCCTGGGATGAGGGCTCAGCCGATGGTCAGACAGCGAGTGTCAGAGTGACGGGAGCCAAGCCCTGCTCTTTCCAAGGTGAGCAAGTTACATCCCACTGCGCCTCCATTTGCCCACCTGCCCTGGCAGGCTGCTGTGCACCGTCCAGTGGTGTTGCCAAGCGCATGCCAGCACACGGCCATGGGGTCACTGTCCCTCACGCCCAGTGAGAGGCCTGGGCAGTTCACCAGGTGAGGCTTTCTACCCAAGGACTCAAGGCGGGCCTCTCGGGCTCCAGCCCTGCTGCCTGCCTTCTGTTCCTTCTGCCCTGGGCGCCCCCCCGCCCCCCTATGCAAAGGGGATGGATGCTGAGGGCTCCTTGAGTGCCCCTGACAGGCCAGCCTCACAGCTCAGGGGTGCGAAGCGTGAGGAAGGCTGGGAACATGCTTGACCTCCACTCAGAGGAGGTCCCGAGAGCGTGCGTGTGCCCAGTCTGTGGCCGCATCCTTCCCTAAGCCAGGCATTTGCCTCTGGGCAGGGACACCTACCCTGGCACCAACACTCCCCCCCACACCCCTGCGGGGACCCGCTGCTTACTCAAAGTCACCGTCCCGGTACTTGCCAAAGGCCTGGAGGACCACGGTGCTGACAGCCATGAGCGGCTTCACCACGCAGAACTGCAGGGTGGCCTGTGGGGAGAAGCCGAGAGTCAGGATGGGACAGACCACGTAACAGCACCTCCTCTGGCCGCAGACCTGCTGGATGCCAGGCCTGGGGAGCCCAGGGTCCTCCCCGAGGGGACTGCTGTCTGGAGAAGGCGGAGGAGTGAGACGATGCCAGTGTGACTCAGCTGAGTGAGAAGACGGGTGTGGAGGGAGGACGATGGATGGAGGAATGGAGGAGAGGAGACAGGAGATGTCCCTGGAGAAGGGGCAGCAGGAATGTGAGACAAGGGACAGGCAGAGGGGACAGCTCATACTGAGGCCAGAGGCAGAGTGGACAAGGGCACGGGTTCGTGCTGGACGGGCAGCACCGTGAAGTGGCCAAGGAAGTGGGTGGGGTGGGGAGCAAAGCCGGGGCGCTGCTCCAGGGACTGGCCACATGGGGAGCAGGGTTGGACCAGGGCTTCCTCTCGTGCCCCTCGCCCACCCCCGGGGTCTGGCTCCCTGCCCCGGGCTCTGGGCCTGGGCCCAGGGTTTATATTGAGCTGGGATCCTGCTGGGGATGGAGATGACTTAACAGGAGCACGAAACAGGAAGCAGCCCAAAGCAAAGGTCTAGTTTGACACCTGAGTTTGAATGTTGGCCTCGCCAGCTGCCAGAAGCTCGAGCGGCGGCCACTGAGCCCCTGGCGGACGGACGTCAGCAGCCCCTCGTCACAGGTAAGCCCCTGCCCCAGGCTTTCACAACTGCCTACCGAGGCCCCCGCAAACCCCGGGCACCCACGGCGCCCATAATATCACTAGAATCCCCTTCCTGCTGAAGTCAAATAAGTCTAAGCCACGGGCCGTCTGTGGAGGCGGGAGCAGTTGGAAAGGCTAAGCGAGTGTGGCTCCAAACAGGGCCAGGACCCTGGAGCGGAGAACGTGGCCTGTTGAACCCAAAGTTCTGGGAACTGGAGTGAGGTTTGCAGGGGAGCCCAGTGTCAGAGCCTTGGGGTGCCACCAGGAGAGGCGTGTGTGACGGGGCTAGAGGGGTGATACTGCTGTCACACCCCACAGAACTGCCCTGGCCTCCCCACCCCACCTGGAGGAGGCGGACCCGCACCGACAGCCCACAGGGGAGGAGCAGCCCCTCGTATGGAGTGAGCCAGTGAGTGAGCGAGCTAAGAGCCCGGCCTGCCGGTACGCCTGGTCAGCCCCTGGATGCCCACGTCCCTATGGAGCCCCAGAGGTGAGCACTGTCCCCAGCCTGATACAGAGGAGGGAACGAGGCCCAGGGACCCTGAAGCCCAGCAGGAGGTCCTGCCCTGGGACAAAGCTGCCACCCCAGGCAGGGGGCGGGGCTTCTGTTCTCTCCCCTTTCCTACCTCTCCCAGCCACTGCCAGGAACAACGGTGGAATATCCGGAACAGCCAGCCCACAGGCCTGGGGATAATTTATAACAAGGCGGCTGGAGCTAGTGATCTGGGATCAAAACTTTGTACACAATATAATCATCAAAGAAGGCATGAGTCACAGGCCCAGGCGCCTAGCCCAGGGTAAACAATGGCCCTGAAAGGCCCCACCCTGAGCCCGGGACAGTTTAACTCTTTCCCTGCAGGTCCCTCGGGGAGACTGTGAGTTTAGAAACACCGTAAGGAAGGAAGACGTGGAAGCTGACCTGGAGGCCCGGGAGGTCCAGGCAGGCTCTGTGGGTGTGTGTGCCTGGCCCCACACAGAAAAGCCAGGCCCCAGCGGGCCAGTGACTGCCTGTGGTTCATTTCCCCTCGGGTTACTCTGGAGATGCTGGAGGGGTCGGAAGGCCCTGTGGAGGGAGCCCCAGAGGAGACTCAGTCGAGGTCGTGCCGCTGGGCATGACACCGGACTCTCCCTCCCCAAACAAGAGACGGGGGGGGGGCTCTGTGCCAGCACCTTGCGAATGCTCTGTATCCACCACCTCACCTGTTCCTTAAACCATCCCTTGGGATAAGTAACATTACGCACATTTGACAGAAGGAACTAAGGCTCAGAGAGGTTAAGTAATGACCCAGGTCACGGTCAGAGGAGAAGCTGGAAATCAAACTCAGATGGTCAGAGGCACAGGCCCATGCACTTCACCACCACACCACACCCCTTCCAGACCGCAGGGAGGGCAGCTGGGAAAACGAAAGCTGCTGCTGCCAACTGGGAAATGGGGGAGGGACTAGAGACGGCACACGCCTGGTTCCTCATGCATCTTTTTTTTTTTCAATCCTCACCTGAGGATATTTTTTAAAATATATGTTTTTGTTGATTTTAGAGAGAGAGGAAGGGAGAGGGATAGAGAAATAGAAACACTGAGAAACATCGATTCGGCTGCCTCCTGCACGCCACCTACTGGGGATCGAGCCCATAACCGGGGCATGTGCCCTGACCTCTTGGTTCATGGGTCGATGCTCAACCACTGAGCCACACCAGCAGGGCTGGTCTTGTATCTTTAATGCAGAAACCCTCCTTCCCTCTAGCCCCAGCTGATGAGAAGTTTTCAAACAGAGATTCTAGAATCCCCATGCACATCCTCCGATTCTCACACACACCGAGACTTGGTCAAAAGGAGCAAGAGTCTGAGACCACTTCGTGCCCAGGACGCCTCTCACTGCCCCTCTGAGCACCCCCTGTGAATGCAGGGGCATCCCTGTGTGGGGAGTGGGTGCTAGGGTTTGGGGGTTGGGGGCTTGCAGGAAATGGGGACTCCAAGGTGGAGCCAGGGCAGCCTGCGGAGGGTCCACCCAGCTGGCCTCTGCCACCCTGTCAAGCAGGGGCAGCACAGCCCCGCGGCTGCTGCTCCAGGGCACAGACCGGGCACGTGCGGGGGCACACACCTGCTTGCAGAACCGCAGGAACCCAATGGAGTACGTCTTTCCCCAGAGGCAGCAGGTGCCATACATACAGCTGGACCTGGAAGAGACCACAGAGGGGATGGTGAGCAGAGAGCTAGGACTCGGGGAAGGTGGGGCTGGGGGACGCCCTCCCTCACATCCAGACAAGCCAGGGCACAGCAGGGTGGGGTGGGGACGGGGCAGAGAGCCCAGGCAGCTTTGAGCCTGAGGCCAAGTACAGGGAGCCAGTGAGAGCATTTGCAATTGCGGTAAAGCATGAGGGAGCAGGCTGCTCGGCAGCCCACGGGTAGCAAAGCACCTGAGAAGCACTGAATGTAAACAGTGCAAGAGAGAGAAACAGGAAAAGATGGGAAGACAGAGGAGAGAGAGCCGGGGAGGCCCTTCCAAAAGTCCCAATGAATGGCCTTGCTTGGGAAGCTCAGGAGACACAGCAGGTCAAGGCCACAGGCGTGGAGGAGCTGCATGTCCAGCTGCCGCCGGGACAGCTCGGAGAAAGGCAGGCCCAGGAAGCAGGGTGCGGGGCTGCAGGGAGCTGTGTACTCACTCGATGGGCTTCCCCCGGATCTCGGACATGATGGAACTTTCTCCCCCGAGGTACTCATAGCACAGGCTCAGGAAGTTGTAGATGACCAAGGCTGTGAAAAGAGGGTCCACAGTAAACCACTCCCATCAACAGGACAGGTCAAGAGACGGCAGAACTCTGAGTAGCAACGAAAGTGAAAGACCAGTCACAGCAGCAACAGAGAGCCCTGAGGGACAGGAGAACCGCACCGTGAACTGAACACTCCATTCTAACCAAAACCAGGCAAGACCAGTGGCATTGCTTAGGGATGCTACACACTGCTCTCACTCTGTACAGCATGGAAGAGATGACCTCAGAAGTCAGCTCTGTGTGGGGAGACGGGAGGACGGGAGGTTAGGGTGGGCACGGAGGGGCCTTGGGGCAGCTGGCAGTGTGCCCGCTCTGGGGTTCAACCAGGTACTGGCTTTATAATTCATCCTATGCTCTTTTCTATTGTGTTATGGACCATGAATTTACAGCAAAACAATAAAACGTTCTCCAGGGGGCTCTCAGGAGACATTCTAAGCAAGAATGAGACGGCAGCACCTCCGTTCGCTCACAACCTGCAGTGCACCTGAGTCTGCACTGAACACAGGGGTGGTGCAGAAAGAGGCACGAATGTCTTGAGAAGCTGGGTCAGCTCGTTCTGAGTCAGGATGCGACTGGACATCCCCACAAAGACAGAATCTGCGAGAGCGACCGCCCGCCGGCAGAGAAGTGTGTTGTAAATGCTACGCTATAAACACAGCAATGCGCTGTGATGGCTCCTGGTCAGAGACGTCTGCTGGGTCAGCAAAGCGAAGGCTGCTGCCTGCAGGTGCCAGAGCAAAGGGTGTGCCAGGAGCGAGGAGGGCGAGTGTGGAAGAAAGTGAGAGTGTGGCAGAGGACACCACAAAGCACGGGGGCCGGAGGGTCGGGGCCAAGAGCAGGGAGCGAGGAGAGGCATCCGGAAAAGCATGGCCAGGGCAAGGTCAACATGGGGCCAGAGAGACCCCTTCTCCTCTGACCCTGCGTCCCCTGCAGCACGAAGGCCTCGGGCTCCCGGTGCAGCCCCTGGCTTGGCACTCAAGGTCTCCCCACGATGACGTGGTCCCTGCCCACCCCTCACTCCTCCTTCCCAGCGACGCTGGACGCCCCTTTCCCTCAGCAGGTTATTGCTTTTGCACTGGCTGTCCCCACTGCCTGGGGTGCCCCTCCCTCCGCACTCCCATCAGACACCACCTACCCTGTGAGTCTCTGGCCACCCTAGGCCAGTTCTCTCACCCACAGTCCTGATGACGTGCAGACGCTGTGCAGACCTCAACACGAAAGCCTGGCGACACAGTCGGAGGTGAACGGTGGCCTTCAACTTGGAAAGGAAGGTATCTGGGTGCTTTTTGCCACTCACAGCTGCTCTAACCTACGAAGGGCTCATGTCTCCAGCTGGGGTGGGGCCCCAGGGAGCACCCTCTAAGAACACGACCCATAGCACCTACCACACTGTGCTGGGACTACCCCTCAGCAGACACAGAGCAGAGGGTTTGCCGCCTGGGTCTGCCACTGGGTTAGCTGTGAGCCTCAGTTTCCTCACCTGTTAAATGGGGACGGGAGTCCCTACCTTCACAGGAGGCTGCGAGGTTGAAGTGAGTATGCAAAGTGCTCGGACGAGTGGGCAGCACTCGGCAGCGCTGCGTGTCGGCAGCTACCTGCCTGCCTCCCTCGGGGGCCAGCATCTGGGATGGGCTGGGGACCCTGTGTGCTGCCGGCCCGGCACAGGAGCAGCTCAGGATGTCTGGTGACTGCAGGCACCCCCACTGATCACTCAACGACAAGAACTACTTTGGGGTACGGGGAGGGGGCATCTAGCCAAATCTGACATCAGCCTGCTAATGGCCTTTGTCCAAACCCACATGAGGCCACGTGGAATGGATGTGTCCATCCCAGGCTGGGTCCAGCCATATTGTGGTCGATGATTATTTTCCAAAGACGGCCACACCCTCTGACACTGACACAACCGGTGCCTACGGTGGACCGGGTGGCACAGAAGTGATGCTTCGTGACATCTGACACTGGGATCAGAAGCCTCTTTCCTCTGTTCTTTCCCGAGACGCCCGCCCTTGAGCCCAGTCACCGTGCGGGAAGCCCAGGCTGACCCCCATGTGGGAGGAACCGAGGGCCCAGCAGACACCAGCACCCACTGCCAGACACACGAGTGAGTCAGATTCCAGATGAAGCCGCCCCGGCCAAGACCCCGCTACCACGGGCAGGGGCCCACCATGCCCACGTGCGTCCCGATGCCTGCCCGGCAGTCAGCAGAAGCAGACGGTTGTCTTACACGGGGCTGTTTGGGATCGTTGCCTACACAGCCATGTAAGTAGAACCTATACATAAAACCACCTGAGCATTCCCAGGGCGTGCACGCTCCTCACGCTTCCCGAGGCCACATATTCTGGTCCCTCTGCCTCCCAGAGGGACCCGCTGAGATGCCGCCTACTCCTTGGTGGCCTCCTCTGTCCTGTTGCCATGCTCACTTCCCACACGGTGAGCTCTCTGCCCATCGCCTGAAACTTCCAGTACAAGCAGCAGCGAAGCAGCAGGAAAGCCATGAACGCGGAGCCAGCCCTCCTGGGTGTGCGCGTGGTTCTACCACTCGGAGCTGTGTGGCCTCAGGCACGTGTCCTCAGTGCTCTGTGCTGCCAGGACCTTCCTCTTGGGGCTGCTGGGAGGACGGGTCGGGGTGAGCACAGCACCAGCCTGAGATGAGCCGAGTTCACACTGAGCAGAGTCCACAGCATGTGATCTGTCGTTTTCTCCAGACTGTAAAGTCCTTGCGGGTAGAAACGGAGGCCTACCCCCAATAACTACCGTACACACGGTAAACACGGAAGAAATGAATGGACGGGCATGGGCCCAGGTTCCAGGGGCTCAGAGCAGCAGGGCAGGCAGCCACGCCCACACTCAGTTCTGTGCTCCAGTTCGCCCTCTCACGGGATGCTGAACAGACTTTCCCGAGGTGATCAGACTTCCAGGCCCGAAGACAAAACCCTCCAGGGAACCCCCAGGGGCCGAAGTTCATCAGCCGCTCCACACGGAACCACTCTCGCAGCCAGGCCTCCTGCCGTCCTCGGAGAAGAGCCTGGCGCCTGAGCTCACATCCTTTCCTTATCACATACGTCCGCACGCAGCCAAGCTCTGTGCTCAGCTGGTCAGAACTGTCAAATCCCATCCATCTCTCAGCTCAAGATTCTCGACCTTTTACCAGTGCTCTGGCCAGCAAGTCTGTGTAACACCAAGTTGGTGACGATGTCGGTTAAAGAATCATGAGTGAGTCGATAACGCGTTCTCAGAGAAGGGAGGCAGGACAGACTGTCTTCCAGATGGTCCAACAAGCCCACACCAGGACCATCTGGACAAGCCAATCCCTCACCGGAGAGTTACAGAGCCACCCCAGCACCCGGCCAGGGTGTGCACAATGACAAGTCAACACACCCCAGGAACCAACACAAAGATATGCTGCCCTGGGCACAGGGAAAGCACAACAGATTAGCAGCGAGATTCTCAGCCAGCGGCCTTGTTGCCTGACTTCCCCCCGACCATGGTTTCAGTTCTGGCCCCTGGGAGGCCTCAGAGAAACAGAGTAACTCTATGCCCCCTAAATGTTCACTACAGCCTCTGTGCTAGGCTCTGTGCTGGGCCCTGGGGACACAGAAATGACCAAGGGGCCCACAGACAAGGCCCTCCCGTGTGAAGCGGAGCGTCCAGAATGAGGGAAGGGATGGTGTCTGTCTGTCTGTCTCAGTCTCCTGCTCTGGAGAGTGAGGTACCGGAACTTTGGGCTCCATCCTAGGCACCTAGAGAAATGCACACAGTCAGGAGAGCAGGACAGGGTGGAGATGAAATGAGGGTTGTCCTGGGTCCTCGAGGCCTGGAGGGAAGACATTGGCACTCACTCTCTTCATCTGTGTGCCAGCGACCTTGTCCAGAAGGTCAGACAGGACCCGCTTAGTCCCAGGGGTGGATCCTACCACTTCTGCTCAGTATAAGAAACTATTCCTAAGAGGCAGTCTTCAGAGGGGCAAGGTAGTGAGCTCTCTGTTAATGGAAGCATGCAATCAGAGCTAGGCCCTTCCACACGGGCCACAACCAGGGCATGGCAGCCACATAACAGACATTAACTATAAAGGGGTCTGAGCAGCTGACACTTTACAGGTCCCTCCTTTCCAACCCCGAGACGCCTGACTGACTCTCTCTCACAGGCAGCAGCGTCTCCAACCAGAGCAGCCGGGACAGGAAGCTGTCCTCCAAGAGACTGTTCTCCACCCCGCACCGCCCCCCCCCATCTCCCGCCCCTCTCCCCAGGGACAACTGTAACAGCACAGCCTTGGGGGCCCCCAAGGCTTCACGGAGAGGCTCCCTGACAAGTGCACTCGGGCAGCCTCTGCTCCCCCACTACAGGTAAGCGAGGCACCTGTCTGCTCCACAGACACTCCCTGGGCCCCCATTCTGTGCCCTGGGTGCACCTGGCCATCGCCAGCTCACTCCTCCACACACCTTCAGCACCTAAAGCGGCCCCGGGGCCTCGCTGTCCTTGCTACACAGACTAAAGCGGCCCCGGGGCCTCGCTGTCCTTGCTACACAGACACTGTTATTTGGAAAGACTCGAGCATTTGTATTTCAGATAACTCACGATGAGCCCGGGAAACTCAGTTTTGACCACTTGGGACAGAAATCTCTGCTCAGTAAAGAGGGCCTCAGGACTTTCCTTTTTTCAGGGACTGATGATCACTGCGGACAATAACGGGCACAATGCACTACAGCCATGGCGACGGGCTCTGCCCGACGCGAAAGGCCCCAGGATGCTGCCAGGCGGGTCCTTCCCCCCCCACCCCCCATGCCATGTCTGTCCTTTGCTGGTCCTGCTTCCTGCCACCTGGAATGCCCTTTCTCTCTCTCAGGACCTCTACTGGTTCCTTCTGCAAACCTCTTTATTCTGATCAGGTGAGCTCCTGTGAGTCCTGGCAGCACATGGCCCGCCGGCCTTCTGTGGCGTGTTTGCGGCCCTCGGCCGGGTTCATCCTGGCTACACTCTCTCCACCAAGATGTTTCATTTGGGGCCAGGTTCCAGGAAGCGGACCTTGTCCAAAATCTGAAACTGGGTGAATGAAGCGTCATTCTTTAATTGTTTCATCCAGGCCTGTAAAACCTCTTCCCCTGACAAGAGTTCATATTTTTCACTGAGAAACTCGTCCTGTGTTCCTTCACCAAGCCTGGCACAGGGCAACCCCGGGCCTGGGAGCTCCAGGCAAGCCTGGCCTCTGGCAAGCACCTGGGAAATCCTGGGCCAGTTTCTTAGCCTCTCAAACTCCTTCCCACGGTTGTAAAATGGGGGTGATATGTACTCCTCCGGGTAACTGGGAGGTGAGAATGAGCTCAGCCTAATGAAAAATAGGTGGTAAAGCCGTGAGCCCACACCAGTGTTACTGGGAAAACAGTGCTGCATAAAGCAACGGGAAGCCCTCTCCTCTGCACCCTGCCTCCTGCACCCCTCGATCAGCTCCCCAGCTCCTCAGGCTGCCTCAGAGTTGTCTCTAGGAGCGACCTCCCACCCCGACCACAATCAAACACTAAATGCAGGGCAGGGGCTGGTTTCCCGCTACTCCTTCTGCCTGGCGCTGCCGTGTGAACTGCGGTGTGAGTTACAGCCCTCACCAGATGGCAGATACTCGGTCAGAGGGACCCTGGGCTAGCCATTTACTTCTCTGAGACTCGCCCTCTCCTTGGAAAATGGCAATATTACCACCCACTCAAGCTGTTTATCTCCCTCTCCTCTCCCCCTCCCCCCAGGATGCCACTAAGATGAGAATGAATCGGTGGAAAAGTACAAGCCTTCAAGGACAAGGAGATGGCACCGGAGGCAGCCGACAGCAATGTTACAAAAGCTCTGAGATGCAGCATGGTCAGCGTGGTCCCTGACCGGGAGGGCCCAGGACTGCGGGGGAAGGTGCCGATGGAAAACGTAGCTGCAAGTCTGCGCGCGGCCTTTACTTTCCTGGCCGGTGGGGACAGCTCCTTCCTCAGAGAACTCAGCTCAGCCGAGGACAGCAACGAGGACACTTGCAGAAAACAGATGAGGTCTGAATGCGAAGGGCGAGTTGTCCGGGTCCCTTCCCCCAACTGCACCCTTAACTCAGCGTGCCCAGCTTTCACCACCCAGAGAACATTATTATCTGGGGAAACAGGCCCAGAATAAAAAAAAACTTCATCGAGTGCCTGTCCCCACCACTGCGTAAAAACAGCACAGGAAAGCCGTGTCCTGTCACCCAACTGGGAGGCCGGCAGTGTAAGCCCCATTCTTCAATACAAAGAATAGCCAAGGACACCAGACACTTGAGGAGCGCTTCCAACACAAAGGTCAAAGGCCAAGACAAACAAACAGGGAAGTCAGGAGACCGAGATAATGCAGGAAACAGAAGAAAACTGCAATTAGCGTCCGGAACGGGAGATATTCTCTCCCACACCAAGCACAAGGGACTATAAAATAGAACAGGAAAGAGCGCCTGACGCTTTACAACACGATAAAGAAAACAAAACCTTCCGTAGAAAAGCTCAAAGGTAAATATTTAAAATAAAATTTAAAAGCTCCTGGGAAATAGAACAAAAGAAACCATAAAGAAAACTTAAAGGTCAATCCAGAAGTGCAACATCCTACCAACAGGAATTCTGGAAAGCAGGAATAAACTAAGGGGGGCGCGGGGGGGGGGTGCGGCGTAGCAAAGGAACATGCAAGAACATTTCTCGGCACTCAAGACATGGGCTTCCACATGAAGGGCCACCGGGCACCCCGCACAGTGAATATCCCGCCGCCTCTGAGATTTCAGAACACTGGGGGCAAAGACCATAAGCAAAGGGGAAAGCAGGTCACACACAGACATTAAGAGTCAGAACCCAGCCCTGGCCTGTGGTTCCGTTATTTAGGGTGTCATGCCACGATGCCAAGGTTGTGGGTTCGATCCCTGGTCAGAGCACATAGAACAATTAACCAGTGAATGCATAAATAAATGAAACAACAAAATGACGTTTCTCTCCCCTCTCTCTCTCTCTCTCTCTCTCTCTCAGTCCATTTTTTTAAAAAAGAATCAGGATCCAGCAGACTTTCCGAAAACAATGCTGGAAGCTAAAAGACTGAAAAACCTGCCTTCAGAATTCAGAGGGAGAGTAATTTCCATCTTAGAATTGTACTCCCATTGACAACTAACCAAACAGAACAATATAATATATATTTGTAGACAATTTTCAGATTTCAAAAAACAGAACCCCATGCACCCTTTTCTCAGGAAGCTCCTGGGAGCCGAGCTCTAACCAGGAGAGGGCGGAGAGGGCGAATCACCAACAAGGGAAAATGGCCCCAGGGGGCAGGTGGTCAGCACAGGAGCGGGGGGCAGGGAAGACCCAGGGCAGCTGCCGAGCAGGAGGAGGCCAGGCCCAGCCCAGAGCAGGAGGCAGGGCATCGGGAGGAACAGCACCGAGGAAAACCCAGAGCGAAGAGACATGCGCCTCCCCTTAGAGAAGGCATGCTTCTAATTCAGTGAAGCGTTCGGGAACAAAGTGATGACAGATACATAGAAAACAGAGTAAACCAAACAGCAAGACGAGTGGCAGCAGAGGAAAAGCACAAGGAAATGTCATCTCGAGGCACCTGCAGGCTCAGCTTTGAACAATGTTTACAGACATGGAGTAACGCACACACGAAATGCGGACTTAGAAACGCTTGTCACCTTAAAAAGATGAAGGAGCGAAAGCGTGTGGGTGTGCACAGCCGGAGGTGAGTACCTAAGTCACAAGCCTCCCAGAGGAAGAAGCCTGCTACTAAACACTACATGAAACTGAAATCCAGAAACAACAGTCTACGCACGTTTTTAGGTTATTCAAGGGAAAAAAAGTTTAAGGAGTTGAAAGTGGCCCTGGCCGGGTAGCTCCATTGGTTAGATGATCATCCTGATTTTAACAAAAATAATAAAAATAAAAAAAGAGTTGCAAGTGCAGTGAACTTGGGAGTCAGAGGAGTTGGGGCAGCTTGTGTCATCCATATGCATGTATGACTTTAATAAAAATAAAATGTCCATTGTTTTAATTTTGTTAAAAAGAAAAGCAAATGTCGCCTAATGGCCAGCAGAGGCCTGGCTACTGTGAAGTAGGAGTTCCTTGGCCCAGTCCGTCCACTCCTGCCCCTTCCCCGTCTCAGGAGACTGGGAGGAAGGGGAACGCATGGGGGCCTCTTTTTGAACTGTAAGGGACACGCCACCACCACGCCTGCTGGGGGCAGGTCCTGCGGAGCTGCAGCACTTGTCGTTATAAAAACTATGGGAGAGGGTCCCAGGCACGGAGCAGAGGTGCGGGGAAGGGCGAGGCGAGGGCCACGCCACCCGCGCGGACACCGAGCTTGTGGACGCTGGTGGCCTGTACTTCGGCGGCTGGGGCCCTGTTTGTAAACTGCCTGGGAGGGGCCCAGGGACAATAGCGTTGCTAGGAGACGCAGACTTCTTACAAAGGACCTTTCTGTAGCTGGGAGGAAGGTCTGGACAGGCAGGGCCTGAACAAAGAGGCTTCTGGAGTGGGAGGAGCCGCCAACCATCTGCTGCCACCTCTGGGGCCGGGAGCGACGGCAATGCGAAGGCTCCCTGGCTGTGCCCCCTTCTGCCATGCACCCCAGTCTGCAGGGCCTGTCCCCCGACCATACAGGGGAGGCTCCCTGGGCAGGGCAGAGCTTGTTTATTCTGAACGAACAAGCAGAGGCTGTGCCATGCGAGGCTGGCAGGTGAATGGAAAAGGATTCTGGCCTCACCTTCTCCAACCCCAACCTCTGTGGCTCCCAAGGTACCAGAGGTTTTGCTGGGGGCTCTGCTGCTTCCAGGAATGTCAGGCACTAGAGCCCCACCTGCCTCAGCTCCGTCACCTGGCAGGGCCAGGCAGGGACACCAGCAGGGACTTTAATGAGGCTACATGTGGATGAACACAAGGCACAGAGCAGGTGTTTCACCAAGTCCCTTATTCATTCCCAACATCCAGAACGAGGGAGCACCTACCACGTGCCCGGCTCTGTTGGCACTGCACTCAGGACGGGGAGAACCAACCAGGCACTTCACTGCAAACTGCGTGCTGCGGACCGGGTCTGGGAGGGGAGCCACCGGGAAGGCCTCTCCGAGGGGACACCGCGGTCCAGATGGAGGAGGGGGAGCCCACGGAGAAGAGCTTTGCGGGCACTGGGCGAACACCCGGTGTGCCAGGCCAGAAAGGAGGCCGGTGTGGCTGAACGGGCAGGTGGGGTGGGGTGTTAGGCATCTGAATTTCCTCACCAAATCCAAAGGCGTTTCCTGTGCCTCTGAGTGCTCAGGGACACACGGGTTCAAAACGGGGCAGAAACAGACTCCAGTTTCTCGGGGGACGAGCATGAAGCCCAGGGCCAAGGACCAAGTCCTCCCAGGTCAGAGAAGCTGACAGGCGGTCATGGTCAGAGCTGCCTGGTCACAGCACCAGGAAAACCGCATCTGGTCACTTTACCAGGAACCAGCAGTGCAGGTACAGGGACGGGAACACACGGCCGTGAGAGGGGGCGAGCATCAGAAGGGATCTTGAATCCAAGGACCCCTCCTCCCCAGCCTGCTGGCCTGTGGCCTGTCCTGGGGCCTCTGGCCCCTCCGTCACCCACAGCCCATGTAGAGAGCTTTGTAGCCTGCAATTTCGCATCATATTTTTAGGTATCAACAGTAAGAAAGAAGATCTAAATTTCCCTGTGTGGCCTGCAAGGCTGTGTATGTCCCTGTCCCTGGCTCCCAGTGCAATCCCTCCTCCAGCCACCGGCCCCCCACAGCCAGCCCACCCTGGCTGGGCACACGGGGACTCCTCCCTCCCCTCAATTTAGCTCTCCGCTCAGCCCAGAATGGACTCTCCTCCTCGCCCTCCCTCTGACAGGCACCGGCTCATTCTCCAAGCCTCAGGCCAGGACCACTGGGCCCCGGTGAGAGAGGCTGCCTGCCCTGTGGTGACTGTGCAGGTGGCACAGACTCCTGGAGGGCTGGCTGGTCAGGGCCTGGTGTGCCTGGAGCTCAGTGCCAGAGCTGGTGATGCTCCCACGTCACATGCAAGAGCAGAGGCCCCCAAAAGGCAGTGAGCCACCTTCTTGGGTGGCACAGCAGAGCTCCTCCAGGGACAAAGCCCTCAGACTTAAGGCACATGGGGAGGGAGGCCCCGCCCTGCCCCACAGACTCCCGGATAAACCCCAACCCATCTGCACCTAGAGCTTCTATCTACAGACAGATCGCTCATTTGCTGCCTGCACACCCGTCTGAGACACCAGAGCTGAGAAAGGGGACACGGGGGGAGGGTCCCTGCTTCCAGGTGTCTGTGACGCTGCTCTGGGAGCCCCATCGCAAAGGGCATCTGAAGGTGAGACTCTGGCCACACCTGTGCTGTCACCTGTCGCTCTAGGCCTGGATGGTGGGTAAAGAAGCGAGGGGTGGCCCCTCGAGGAGAAACCAGGAGAGGGGCCCGTGGCTCCCAGACGCCAGGCAGGAGGGGTGCGCTGCCCACGGCCGGCCCTCCCTGGTGCGCGCCCACACGTCCTCACCCTCGTAGCAGTCACGCACGGTGCCGAAGTACACGTAGTACTGGTCGTTGGTGAAGAAGAGGAGGCTGAGCCAGGAGTCGAAGGCGTAGATGGGCACGATGAAGAGGATGCGCACGATGTAGCGCTGCTCGTTGGGGCAGCTGTAGCAGCGCAGGTGCATGTAGATCTGCGGGCAGAGGGGCAGTGTCAGCCGGAGACCCGACGTCCTGACTGTCCCGCCGGCGCCCCTCCGCCCCTCTGCTCCACGGGAGGAGGAGGCGGGCCGAGCGGTCTAGCTCAGCCACTCACTAGATCTGTGACCGAATTACTCCACCCTGCGCCTCAGCCTCCTCCTCTGCAAAAGGGGACGATGAGTGTGAGGCTGTTTGGCTCAGTGGATAGAGCGTCGGCCTGCAGACTGAAAGGTCCCAGGTTCGATTCCGGCCAAGGGCATGTACCTTGGTTGCGGGCACATCCCCAGGAGGAAGTGTGCAGGAGGCAGCTGATCGATGTTTCTCTCTCATCGATATTTCTAACTCTCTATCTCTCTCCCTTCCTCTCTGTGAAAAATCAATAAAATATATTTTAAAAAAAAGGGGGGGGACGATGAGTGTGAGGCTGCTGCGAGCATCAGACCCCGGGGTGCAGAAAGCCTGTGGGGGTGCAAGCGGTGGCGCCAAGGCCGGCCTCACAGACTCAGGAGCACGAGTCCATGCCCGAGACTGTCCACATCCAAGCGGGGAATCAGCTGTAACAAGCACCCTGGGACCCTCGTGCACAGCCAGGTTTGTGTGGTGCAAGGAGGTTTTCAGTATGTGTCCCCACCCCGACCTCCCTAAGCACCTGGTCCCTGGGCCATGGAGCTCACAGGCGAGGGGGTGGGTGCCCACCCGCCCCATCCCCGTATGACGGGGCAGACGGGACCCCCACTTCTACGCAGGGCGGATGCTCTCCCTGGCTGCGTGGCTGCAGTGATGTCCTCAGCCTGTCTGACCTTCCCAGCTGGAACAGAGGCAGCGCTCCTGCCGCACGGGCAGTTGGGAGAATGAATGCGGTTTTTAGATAGCGGGGGGTGGGGGGGGGGTGATAAAAGTTGCACACAAATGCCAAGACCTGCTCTAGCCAGGATCCTCGTCCCAGCCCGAGTCTCCCATCCCAGCTTCATGACTTCACACTTGGCCCAGCCGAGCCCTGGGCTCGGGAGGAAAAGAACAAAATATTCCCCATCTTCAATGAGCCAGCTGCAATGAAGCAACTGGATTCTAGAAAGGATGGGGAACACAGGGCAGCGGGAGAGGAGCTGAAAGGAGACCCAAATGAGCTCAGCCTCCGTCTTTGCTGGAAACCTTCAAACCTCTCCTTGCTCAGGCAGCCAAGGCCCGTCTCAGGCCACACCAGGCTCCTCTGGGCCTGTGAGCACGGGGCACAGGACACTGACTTCTACCCCAGCTCTGCCAACGACTAAGTAAATAGGCTAGTCCCCTCCCTTCTCCCTCTCTGGGTCCCAATTTTCTCATCTGCGAAGGGGTCACTGACATCAGGTGCTCACACACAGTCCCCAGGCCCCCTGCAGCTCAGGGTGGACACGGGACTGACATCAGGTGCTCACGCACAGTCCCCAGGCCCCCTACAGCTCAGGCTGGACATGGAACTGACAACTAGGTGCTCATGCACAGTCTCCCAGCTCACTGCAGCTCAGGGTGTACACGGGACTGACAACTAGGTGCTCATGCACAGTCTCCCAGCTCCCTGCAGCTCAGGGTGTACACAGGACTGACATCAGGTGCTCACGCACAGTCCCCCAGCTCCCTGCAGCTCAGGGTGGACACAGGACTGACATCAGGTGCTCACACACAGTCCCCAGCCCCCTGCAGCTCAGGCTGGACACGGGACTGACAACTAGGTGCTCACGCACAGTCCCCAGGCCCCCTGCAGCTCAGGGTGGACACGGGACTGACATCAGGTGCTCACGCACAGTCCCCAGGCCCCCTGCAGCTCAGGGTGGACACGGGACTGACATCAGGTGCTCACGCACAGTCCCCCAGCTCCCTGCAGCTCAGGATGGACACGGGACTTACATCAGGTGCTCACGCACAGTCCCCCAGCTCCCTGCAGCTCAGGGTGGACACAGGACTGACATCAGGTGCTCACGCACAGTCCCCCAGCTCCCTGCAGCTCAGGCTGGACCCGGGACTGACATCAGGTGCTCACGCACAGTCCCCAGGCCCCCTGCAGCTCAGGCTGGACATGGGACCAGTTCTGGCCCAGGGACAGTGAGCAAAGAAATGAGTGTCGTTTCTGGATCTTAAAAGGTAAATACCCAGAGTGCCTCCCACGTGACCCTCCTCCCAGTGGTCAGGTGGATGATGCCTTGGAGCTGCAAGATGCTGGAGCCACAGGTGGAACCTGAAGCGCACTGGGCTGGGATGTGAGCAAGGAATCCCCTTCTCCCAGAGGAGCTCCGGAGATCATGGGGTTCACTTACTGCTGCAGCATCGCCTGCCCGCACCTAACTAATGCCTTTTGGACTAGAAACTGCTCAGGATCCTTCTAGCCTTCGGGCTCGGGGACTCCTGACTGGCCGGTACCTGGTGGCAGGTGATGAGCAGCGCCGTCCAGACAAAGAAACCGGAGATGGCCTGCGCGGCCGTTGTCATCAGGAACACGGGCTGTTCCATGGCTGTGGGGCTGCCCTCGGGGACTTCGGAGACGCTGGGCGAGGCTGCCGCCATCGTGGGCGACACTGGATCTGGGGCCAGGGCGGCCCCCCTCACTGTCATGGTGCCCGGCAGCAGGGGCTCCCTGAGAGAAACCGTGGGAGTGAGCGAGGAGCTGGCCTAGAGAGAGGAAATCACAATATTAGCCTCCTCCCAGCCAGGGCCAGTACCGGAAAGAATCTCCCAGGGTTCTATGTCCACCTTCAAAACGTGCCCGGACTCTGACCAGGCGTCACCCTGGCCCCAGCCATCACGCTGGAGCCAGCCTCACCTTGTCCCCCCTGAATTAATGGAACAGGCTCCTCACCAGTCTCCCTGCTTCTGCCCTTGTCTCTGCTGTCCAGTCCCACGCAGCAGCTGTGTGAGCCTTCTAAGATGTCAGCCAGACTGGCCTCTCCTCTGCTCAGAACTCCAAAACCTCACATCTCCTTTGGAGCAGAAGCTGCGTCCCTCCCGTGGCCCACACGACTGCCCTCCGTGGCTCTGGTTGTTTCTCATCTCCTGCAAGTCCCACCTAATTCTCTACTCCAGTCACGGCCTCCTACTGCCCTCGGATGTGCCGCAGCCTGCCCCGGCTGCAGGCCTGCGCACGCCTCTCTGCCCAGCTGCCCAGCTCCTCCTAGGACCCTCTGGCCCCTGCTGAAATGGATGCGACTCGGAGAATGTGGGCATTGGGAAGAGCCCTAGCTGGAGCGCCAGGCCCAGATGCCCACCGACCCGCCCTGTGTCCCACAGGTTCACTGGCCCCACTGCTGTCTGACCCAGAAAATGGCCAAACCCCAAAACCCCAGCAATCTCAGCCTAAACCCTGAGGGCAGCCCATCTGACCTCTCACAATTTCCAAGGCTAAGCTGATATTCTCACCAGAGCTGAGCCTAACGGGAGCTTTCCTTGGGCCTTCCTGGGTGCACCCGGGCCCATTGCCTGACCTGCTGATGTCTCCCCACGCTTCCCGGCTCTGTCCCCCATTCTCTCCAATGTCGCCAGCATCCTCTGCCACCATCTACACCATGTGTGCTCTTAGCTGTAAGTTTCACCCCCTGAGAGCCCTTTACATTTCTATTTTCCTGTAAAAATAAATGATTTCTAACACACCGACCAGGAGATATATCTAGATTAGAAACCAAAAATGGAGAAGACATCTATATAAAGAAACTCAAAAATGGAATTGTCTATATAAAGATTGGTGACAAGCTTTGAAAAAGAGACACAGTGACAAGTCTAAGAATAGTTCCTGTAAGAATGATTGCAAAATTGAAAACCAGTGCCAGAAATATTTCTTTAAAAAGGAGACTTGGTCCTGGCTGGTGTTGCTCAGTGGTTTGATTCCCAGTCAGGGCACATGTCCAGGTTGCTCGATCCCCAACAGGGGGCGTGCAGGAGGCAGCCAATCAATGAGTTTCTCTCATCATTGATGCTTCTATCTCTCTCCCTCTCCCTTCCTCTCTGAAATCAATAAAAATGTATTTTAAAAAATTTTTTTAAAAAGAGGAGACTTGGGTTGTAAATCATCATCTTTGCCTATCATCCCAAATTAAATGAACAAACGAGAATCGAAGGGGGATGGGAGGAGGTGGTACAAAGACGCCTAAGTCCTCACCTTCTGAGCGAGAGTGTCAGAGGCTGCTCTGCTCTAAGGTAGTGCTGAGAGGCCCCTGTGTCGTCTCCCCAGCCAGGCCAACTCTGGGCTCTGCCCCTGCCCACAGGAGGGCACACCAGCAGGCTCCAGCCCAGCCTCTCCCTGGGGCTTTGTCACTCACCCTCAAGTGCCTCTCTTAACCCCCGAGTGACAGTAACACTCAGAGTTCTCTCGCTTTCCTCGGGTAGGTCGCCCGCTTCACAAGAAGAGACCCACTCAGGGGGAGTCGCCCCGAATCAGAGCCAGGGCTCAAACGCAGGTCCTACGGACACACTGTCTCCCACCGGCCTGGAGGCCCAGAGGAGCTGCCCCCCACGGCAGAGCCTCCTGCAGACAGGGCCCCGCCTGTCCTGCCGCAGCTGGCACTGTCCTCACAGGAAGGGGAGGGCCTCTCCGGGAAGGGTGGCCACGGCGGCGCTGGGAGGCTTCTGTGCCCTGACCCACGCCCGCCATGTTGTTGCGCCATGCCCTGTGGTTTACAAATCATTTCCCCAAACATAGTATCTAGTTTTTTCTCACAGCAACTTTGAAGTAAGTAACATTTTCTCCAACTGAGAGATGAGAAAAATCATGTGGAACTTGGTTTTGCAGTCTCCTGGGGTAGCACAAAATGATTTGAAGGTTTTCATAATATCCCTCCGAAGTACTTGATGCAATATTGGGTTTTTTTTATAAGTTTCTTTTTTTAAATATGTTTTTATTGATTCTTAGAGAGAGGAAGGGAGGAGGAGAGAGAGACAGAAACATGGATGAGAGAGAATCATAGATCGGCTGCCTCCTGCACGCCCCTGCTGGGGATCGAGCCCACAACCCAGGCATGTGCCTTGACCGGGAATGGAATCAGTGACCTCTTGGTGCATGAGACAACACTCAATCCACCACGCCACACATGCCAGGCATCTGATGCCATATTCTGACTCAGACGCAGGCCCCTGGCCCCCAGGAGAGGCAGGCGATGGTGGCTCCTCAGAGGCTGTTTCCCAGAGCTGGCCCAGCTTGGTGGCCCAGGATGGCACACCATGCCAGATCTCACCAAATGTTCGCAGTGTGCGTCTGTTGGGAGGTGGGGGGATGGACCCTGGGGTCCCATCCTTTCATGCTCAGGACAGGCACCGACCTGGGAAAGATCTCTTGCCTGCCCAGGTCACACAAGGAAGCAGGACACTGGCCTGGCACAGCCCCAGGCCTGGGAAGGCACGGATGATGCTGGCTAGGTAGCCCCTTCACTCTCCTGGGAAAAGGGGTTCAGAGAAGGGCCTCCAAGGCTCCCCTTTTCCAATGCAGTCTATGCACCCTGATGTGGGAAAGAAGCACAGGATGGAGCTCGGAACCCCGCATGCTCTGGCAGGTCCCCTATTTTCTTAATGGACCAAATATGAAACTTTCGCCAGGGATGTGACAGAGAGCCCTGAGGGGAGATGCTGGGATCATCTTTCCAACAAACATGTCCTGAGGCCGCTGGACACAGTGCTGAGCACTGGAAGAAGACCCAGTCTCAGCTTCAAGGAATTCACTTGCTCTACACGACAGGGGCGACCTGGAGGCCTGGCCCACTGCCCGGCAGGAGAGGCGAGTGCCCAGCAGGAAGAGAGCTGCAGGTGGCATCACTGCCTTGGCCACAGCTGGGGGCGGGTCAGGGAAGGCTGCGAAGTGGTGGGACTTTGGGGCAGAGTCTGTAAGTGGCACAACCTCGCCTCCGCTTTGCAGTCCCCACGCAGGATTCTCGCCACCCTCCACCACCTGGCAGCCTGGAGCCTCAGTGTCTTCATCTATAACATTTCAGGGCAACTACATAATTGACAAGGGAGTTGTTCTACGTTACATAAGTCCCCTTAGTGAAAGGACACAGAATAAAAAAATAAAAAAATGACCATTTTGCAATTCCTAGGACAAATAATGGATGGAGACCTGGGTCATCAGTGGATGATAAAACCACTAGTGAAAGGCTGATGGGGAATTTGATAAGGGATGGGTCAGGCCGCAGAGGCAAACCCACAGTCAAGATCAATGTCACTAAAACGGGGCACTGGGAGTTTTAAGCCTCCTAACTGCCTGCACAGGAAGCACACAGCACCTCCCAAGAAGGACCCTTGCCCAAAAAGTGAACTGGGATTGAAACAAGCCTCTAGAACTAATCGCCAGTACCAGGAGATACCGAAGGAAGCGGATCAGATTAAATGACACCATGAGGCCCTAGCCCAGCGGTTCTCAACCTGTGGGTCGTGACCCCTTTGGGGGTCGAACAACCCTTTCACAGGGGTCGCCTAAGACCATCCTGCATATCAGATATTTACATGATGATTCATAACAGTAGCAACATTACAGTTATGAAGTAGCAACGAAAATAATTTTATGGTTGGGTCACAACATGAGGAACTGTATTTAAAGGGCCAGAAGGGTGAGAACCACTGCCCTGGCCGTTTTGGCTCAGTGGCTAGAGCGTTGGCCTGCGGACTGAAGGGTCCCAAGTTCAATTCCCGGTTGTGGGCTCGATCCCCAGTAGGAGGTGTGCAGGAGGCAGCCAATCAATGATTCTCTCTCATCATTGATGTTTCTATCTCTCTCTCCCTCTCCCTTCCTCTCTGAAATCAATAAAACTATATTTTTTAAATGATTCCATGAGCAAGCAGCAGCCAAATCTAGACCACTGTACAGTCTACACTCACTGGCAGTGGTTCTCAACCTTCCTAATGCCACAACCCTTTAATACAGTTCTCATGTTGTGGTGACCCCCCAACCATAAAATTATTTTCGTTGCTACTTCATAACTGTAATTTTGCTACTGTTATGAATCGTAATGTAAATATCTGATATGCAAGATGTATTTTCATTGTTCGCGACCCACAGGTTGAGAACCGCTGGCAGGATAAATGTCCTGGTTTCTCCAACAAGTTAGTGTCTTACCAACAAAGGTGGTTGAGGGATTGTTACAGAAAAAGAGACTCTAGAGACGTTACAACCAAATGCAATGTATGGACCTACTGGGTCCTGATGCTTAGACAGGACCCAAAACAGTCAACATACAGGATTCCTGTCAGTTTGCTCAGGTGTGATAATGAACAGGGTGGGTGTGTAAAAATAAGTCCTTACAAGAAGAATAATTTTTTCAACAAATAGTACTGGCAGAATTGGACATTAGAGACAAAAAAAAATTAAACTTAACCTAAACCTTTACCTCATATACAAAAATTAATTCACAATGGACCACGAACTTAAATGTAAAAATGTAAGACTATAAAACTTGTAGAAGACATAGGAGAAAAATCTTTGAAACCTAGGGCCAGGCAAAGTGTTTCTAGTCTTGACACCAAAGCATGACTCATAAAAATGGAAAAACTGGACTTCACAAAAAGTGAAAACTTACACTGTGACTCAGGTAAGAGATTGAAAAGACAAGCAGCATAGTGGGAGAAAACATTTGCAAGTCACATATCTGACAAATGACTAGCATCTGGCATAGAGCAAGAATGGTCAAAGCTCA